AGAGTGAGTCAAATTTGACTTGACTTTATGTCAAAAATAAGCACAGAACCGGTGACTCAGAGCTGACTACACACTGTGACTAATCTTAGACCACCATAAATTACAAGTTTGTAACAGCTATATAACTGTTTCCATTCTGAACAATGAATCTCCAGTATTACTAACATCTATCCCATTAACAAACAATTCATGTGAATCCAGATAAAAGCAAATTATTTCCCTAATAATTATAATTACAAACTAGACCAAAATCTTCATTTTAAAGATGAAAAAATACATATTTTTTGAAGCAGCAATTAATTCTTGTTTCATATGAATGACTTTCCTTAATTAAAAAACAGATATTGTATTTGCCTGGGAGAAAATGCATGGTTATTTGGAAATAATATATTCCTCTGGAGTAAAAACCTTATGAAAAATTATGAATTTCATAAGAAAACTAATTTCTTTCTATTACAAACATGAGTGCCTTATAATGCCCAAGGCTCTCAGGAGCTGTGAGTAAAATGAAGACAAATAAGACATAGTCCCCAGAAACAAAGAGTTACAGTGAAATAGAGAGGTTCTCAAACTTCAGCACTGTTTTACCCACATATCTTGCTTAAATGAAGATCTGTGAGTCTTAATTTCCAAATTCTGATTTCATAGGTCTGGAGTAGGCCCTCAGAGGTGTATATTCTGATGCAGGGCTTCAGAAGACAAAATTCTGAGAGCCGTATGTCTTTAGTAGCAAGGAACAACATAGTACATTGTACAATATGTCTAATATTTGCCTAATTAATTTATTAAGAATTCCTGCAACCTCCACTAATGATGTCTTTTAATCCTGAGTTAAGATGCAATTCAAATCTTTAATTAAAATTATTTTTGTAAAGACCTGAACCTTAAGTTCAGATGTCTCTCCATCAAGTGCGTATTGCAATTTGCTTATGTGTATCAGTTTTACTAACTGAACTTCTGTTTCATTCCTGTGGCTAAGCAGTCACCTTATCTTCCAGTGGACTCAGTAATAACGAGTTGTCTACTTTGTTTACGGAATCCTGAGCCTCTCATTTATCTCAGAAATATTGTCCTCTTGTTTCACCATTTTCTAAAACTCAGCCCCTGTCCAAATGAGGCCAGGGGAATGTCAAGGAGGGGGGGGGGAGCGGCAGATTATGTAATACTCTTTGTAATACTTAAAGCAATAAAAAAAAGACAGAAAAAAAGACTGTTTTACCTGGTGCTAGACCACCCCGATGCAGACCACCTGCCTGGATTTGAACGTATTTTCTTCTCCCAGACTGTGCATAGCAATGATCTGCCTCCCACCCACAGGGGAAGCACCTGTCACCCCTTTCTGGACTTCTCTGACACTGTTTGCCTGTTCTCACTGTTACATATCACCTGCCATCAAGTTCCTTAGTAATCTGCTCCAGTACTTTCCAAAATGTACAGAACATCAGCTACTTTTAAGCACCTGGAGAGATGCTTAAAATTACAGATTCGTGGGCTTTACCTTTTGAGGCTATGATTTAGCAAGTCTGGGGTGAAGTCCAGAAATATGTAGCCTTAAAGCTTCATATATAATTGAAGATTTAGAAAACACATTTAAGTTGGACTTTTAAGAATTAATATAATTTTTTTGTGACATAGAAAGGGAGAAGGACAATATAAGAAGGCAAAGCAATCTGATGGTAAAAAGTGGTGAGCATGTTTAAAGAAGAGAATGTAAGCAATGACTAGTCCATAAAGTTTGGCTAGAGGCATCAGCTTTATGAAGAGATGTACTAGAGGGACATAAGGATGGAAAGCTAGACAGAAGCCAGATTCTAACTGGTGATGAATTCCGGGAAAGGTAAAACACTGGGCGTGTTCTGGGCCATCTCCTACTAGTACACATTGTGCTTTTCATTATCACCTCTATACTTCAGATAACCACATCTACACATTTAATTTTTATCCTTCAGATAATAAACTTCAACTGTCAACACATAAATCCTCAAAATTGCATATTGGAGCCAATTTAATCAAAGTAAGTGGGTGGAAAAATGAGACTGATGGGCAGTCTAGATGAGTATGGGTGATAAGGCCAGTGTAGGGTATTAACACAGGAAGAACAGAGGTCTATTATAAGATGGGAACAGTCAAGTTGGAGAGGGGGGAAAAATTGCACAACCATGGCAGAGATTGGAGTGATAAGATCTGATTTTATATAGGAGAGATGGGAGAGAAAAAAGTCACATAAAAATATGAGGTATGGTGTCCAACTAATCCTATCTAATAAAAGGCAAAAAGGGTAATTGACCATACCTTCACAACACTTCCCATTGGCTTATCAGGGTGATATGCAAATAAACCACCAACCAAGATGGCGGCCGGCAGCCACGCAGCTGAAGCGAGCAGGAGACTTGCTTGCTCCAGTGATGGAGGAAGCCAAGGTTCCCCGCCTGCCGCGGCCCAGCTCTGAGCTCC